TTAATAAGCGGCAAAAGGGTGATTAGAATGTTGATTTCGGAAAGTTATAAATGGACTAGTGGTCCAAATGGATGTGAAATAAGATTTTGAAAATGATCATGGGAATCCTTCCCATGAGAAAATGCTGCTGTTTTGAATTCTTGAAAGAAAACATGATAGGATGAGACTTTGAACACTGGACACTAAAGGGAACCAGAGGGAACTAAAGATTACAATTAAAGAAGAACACTTAAATTTGACTTATTAACACAGAATGGAGCAAAATACTTTAGCACTGGATGTGTCTGAGGATATTTGTGAGCAATGGATCCAGAAGTTAATTTTAAAAGTGTCTGCCATTATAGATAGATAGCTTTTAAGAGATGTTGTGGGTGGGGAACAAGTTTTGCCGGACAGGAGTGGAACTGATCTGAAAATAGATTTGAAAATAGGCTGCAAGAGCAATATGGAAAAAGATGTGACACTGGGTATACAAATGAAATTGGCTGATGTCTTAGTAATTGAAAGGGATGTACAACTGGCAAACCAAAATAATAACTTGGATAACTTTCTTACATTGGACCAACAAAAGAGATCTGTTAAAGTTCTGATGGAATTTGTGAGAATGGACAAAGAAAAAATGAAAACAAGCTCTAGGACACTATCTGAAGGGATTAAAGATCAAGATTGTTCAAAGTAAAAGTAAGGAATATAAAGTGGGTTTATCTGATCAACTTTAAAATAGAAATGTTATTATCTCTGGCAACCCTTAATGGACTTTTGTTGACCAGGACTGAACGATGAGGTTGTAAGGATCTGTTTATAGATATGAGATGACATATGGGATGAAGAGTTACTTCGTTGTATTTTATGAGAAGGTGATAACTTGTTAAAATTGTTTATATTTGTTGTGATAAAGGAAGAAGTCATTTCTTTATATATTTCTTTTCTTTTTCTGCATTTTCTTTTTTTCTTTTATTTTTTGTAGTTTATATTAGTTTTTATCTGTTTAACTATAATGTTTAATAAAATTATTTTTTAAAAACCCTTTGGGTATAGGCATTTTCTTTTTGAAGCTATTTTCAAATATTGTATTATTTCTCAAAGCCCGGTGTTTACTTCAAACCAGCTGCAAGTTTAATCATAAAACTCCAGTATTTTCTTGGGCAGCATCTTCCCAAGTTTCTTCTGCCTAGGAAAGCGATAAGCCATATTCCTGTGAGGCAGAAGATATCAGACCCCAGGCATCCTACATGCTGAAAGATTGAATTAGACTGCTAGCCTGCAGGCATTGTCATCCAAAAGTTTGTTTTGGTTTGTCTTCTATTGGTATAATTGACATTTATCCTATCCTAGCTAGTTTGTAGGAATAACCCTGTGTTTCTCAACCTTGGCAGCTTTAAGCTGTGCAGACTGCAACTCCCAGAATTCTGGGAGTTGAAGTCCGCACAGCTTAAAGCAGCAAGGTTGAGAAACACTGGATAACCTGTAGCCCTGCTGAGATTTCTATTAAAGACATCTTCTGGGCTGACCTGCTTCCATTTCCTTGCCACAAGTGAATGTTTATGTTAAAGGTTTGGTGCCAGCTGCAGGTTTTATGAGGTGCCTGAATATTTATTTGCTGTTTTAATCAAGTTCACCTACAACAGAAATTGGTTCCATTCAGGTACAGCTATCATAAATAAGAAGAAAACTCTGCAGAGGATTTTTTCCCCCTTCCTTTTGGAGTCATAAGTTTTGAAATATTATCTCTGAGCATTCTCGAGAGGTATACCACGTGCAGTCATACATGCTTTTCTGCATTGATGCAGTCGACATTCAAATGTCTTAATGTTGACCTCAACTTGCATCATCAGCCTTCATGTTTCCATTAAACATATTCTATTAAGACTAAAACGCTACTTGTGATCTATAAAAAAACAAACTGTTACAGCATCTGAATAGTCCTTTCTGGCAGATTGCTCCATAATAGTTCAGGATGGACATTTGATAATTCATCAGTGGGAGAGAATTTCCTAATCAGTCAGTTGTTTTTTAATGATAATCCTGTGTAATGTCTTTCCAGTTATCAAGAAGTTGTATGTATGTGTGCAAGAGAGAAGGGGGGGGGGGTGAGGGGCAGTTTGGAACACAAACCAAACAGTCCACTGGAGTTGGGAAGCCAATAAATTTAAAGAAGAAGAAGGAGGAGGAGGAGGAGGAGAAGGAGGAGGAGGAGGAGGAGGTCTACATATTTACCTTCACTTATAATCATACAATGTACATTTTTAAAAAACCACTATACAGACTCTTAAGCATCCACCGTTCCCTCTCGTTCAAGAAAGCTGAAGCAGGAGGTCTGAATCTGAATTTCTCAGGAAGTATTCTTTTTTAAAAAATTATTCTTTAATCAGCCTTAAAGTGCTTGTCTTTCATGCTGATACCAGCTGAAAACAAGGCCAGCTTAAGAAATAACTCCCTGGTTTTCAAGATTTAACAATAAGGCTGGCCAGGCCCTCTGTCCTGATGGCAGTTACCAGGACTTCCAGTTAATAGATCTCCCTGTTTCTTTATCTCTCCCACCCATGTCGGGAACGCAAGTGCCAATCGCTTTCCTTTTCATGGGCACTTCCTTGAGGGCATGTGGGCTCCATTTGCATGAGCAAATGACATCCAGCAGTCACAAAAGTGTTCAGTTAAAAAGTAACTTAGAGGACATCAAATTCAGCCGCCTGCTCAGTGTAAGAGTTGCTTATTCACCATGAGCTTTTCACTACATTTGAGTCCACCTCAATTTTTACTGTTTTTTTTTTTTAAGTTAGAAGGGAAATACTGGCAAATTCTTGTCAAGTTTACCCTAGACTTTGCACTCAGTCCAGCAGATACCTTCTCCCAGTCTCCTTTAGGAGAGCTTCAGCAAGCCCAAAACTTTACTGGATTCCAGTTCAAGAGAACTGGGAGGCATCGTCTTTGGAAAAGAAATGCGGGAAGCGGGGGGGGGGGTTGAGTGTGTGTGTGTGTGTTTTCCCCCCTTCCATCTCCTTTATGACTGTCAGTAAGAGGTTTGGAGTTTGCTTGCTTCCTTGCTGTACTCAGCCATAGTAGCACATCCAAGCATACACCCAGGATTCTTCCCTGTCCTGCCCTTTCTCCTTCTTACAGTCTTTCCTTCCTCCTTACTGGCTGTCTCTTGTCTGCTTCTCTGCTTTGAAATCATCTCCATGGGACCAATTTAAAAAGAAAATAAAACAACAAAGGACAGTTTTTTCAAA